GGACGTTGTGTCAGGTGGAACAAGCCAGACACAAAAGGACAAATGCCGTATGGTTCCACTTACATGAGGTACCCAGAGTAGTCAAATCCATAGAGACAGAAGTAGAATGGTGGTTGTCAGGGGCGGGGGTGAGGTATGAACAGGGAGTTACTGTCTAATGGGTACAGAATTTCAGTTTTACAAAACAAAGAGCTCTGGAGGTGGATGGAGGTGATGGTTGTATAACAGCGTGAATGTACTTAATGCCACTAAGCTGCACACTTAAAAATGGTTAAGATGGTAAATTGTATGTTACATATATTTTACTGCATGAGGCACAGACTCTGCAGCCTGAGGACCTGGGGCTTTAAAGTCGAGCTCTGTCATATATTAGCTGTGGGACCTTGGATGTGATGTTTAACCTTTCTGAGGATAGTTTTCTTTTTCTTATCTTGCTATAGGCAGAATCATAGCACATAGTCAGTCTGTATGCTGTAGTTTCTTCCCAATCTGGGGAAGAGGCTGGATGACTGGGGAACTTGCTGGAACAGAACAGGCTGACAGTGTGGATGTGGAACTTGGAGGCCTGGGTTGGTGACATGGGAGTGTGAGGGGGCGAAATCTCTCCCCACTACCCCCCGAGTGATGGGCACTCAGTCAGGACGCTGTCTGTAGGCAGGTGACTAAGCTGTTCTCTTAGTATTTCTTTCCTTTACTATTTTTTCCTTTAGGAAAAAAATAACTTTTTCTCCACCCTTTGAAAGCAGTCTGCCCTTCATCTTACATACAGGAAGGCTCAGGGCCAGATAGTGAAGTGACTTGTCGAAGTTTACACAGGGGGAGAAATGTGATGAGAACTTAGGTCACCTGATTTCACTTCCCCACCATTTTAAAGGCCTGCTGATTGTTGGGTAATCATGATAGAAATTTGTGGTTAAGTCAAGGTTTTTGCTCTCAGGAACTTACTATTTTTTCCCTCTAGAGAGAAAATACATGAAATAGCTAGAGTGAAAAGTGCTATACTAGATATGCTATAGTAAAATGTGCTGTCGTAAAAGTGCTAGAATTGAGTTGTGAATTGACAGAGAAAGGGTTGCAGCGAGGGCCACGTGGAAGGGCGGAGAAGGCTTCACACTGGAGCTGACATGTCTGTGGATATGGGGCATTAAGGAGGCATCCCCGGGGTTGGAAACAATTTGGTCGGATAGTGGGGTGTGTGTATGTGTCTGGGAGTGGTGGGGGAATCCAGGTAGAGCGTCAGCACAAGTAGAAACATCTTGGAAAAGGGCTTCCTCTTTGGTATCAGACAGGACTGGGTTTGAAACCCAGCTCTGCCGCCCCTAGTTTTGCCTGCTCTGACCTCCAGTTAACTCATCTGTAACATGGATTAAAAAAAAGGAAAGGTCTCAGTTGTATCTCTAGTATATGTAGATGAATGACACCACTGGTACCTGTCTTGCTTTGCAGTGGTTTTTAGAGTCCGGGGTGTTAGAGTTGGTACCGTGACCTCCTCCAGGGTGAGGAATTCTACATTTCTTCCCCGCCACCCGTACCTAGTGTAGAGCTCTGCTCTCTATGGGAAAAGAGGCCCAGATCCTTTTCCTTGTTAAGAGTAGGAGAAATAATGTTTCACCAGGAAGTTAGAGTCACTATTTAAGAGACCCAGAATCATCATGTCCTTAGAGTTCTCTGTTCTTGCCTCATTGCACACTGAAAACCTCAGAATGAATAACCATGCTTAACTCACTCAGTTTATTACAGGATGATGGTCGCTCTGTTTGTGAATATTAGGTGGTCAGCTTTAGTGTGTCCCTGCCTGGGAATGGCGTGGGGTGGTGTGAGCTGTTAAGGATTCTCTGGGCTTGTGAACAATGTAGGGAATCATGATTGATGATGTCAATCTCTACTACTTGAAATGTGGTCCCCAGGCCAGCAGGATGGCATCCCCTGAGAGCTTTGATGAAAGACAGAATCCCAGGCCCTATCCCAGACTTCTTGGATCAGAATCTGCATTTTAACAAAATCTGTAGGTGATTTGTGTGTCCACTGAGGTTTGAGAAGCGCTGATGTAGAAGGTTGTTTGTGAATCTTGGAGTTCAGGCTCCCCTTTCTCCACGGGGGAGCCTTCCTGGTTCTGTCCAGCTAGAATTTATCCCCGCTTTATATTTGACTTCCTTACAGAACCAAAGAAGAGGCTTCTAATTGACTAAGAATTACAGGATCGAGAAAGGAAATGGGGAGGGAACAGAACATGAAAAAGTTGTTCTTGATTTGAGACTTTAAGATTTTCCTTGAAATGAGTGAGCTCAGGGTCTATAAGGCTTTTGCTTATGGAATCAGGCAGGTCAACATTTTTCTTCCCCAAATCAGTAACTGCTACTTATTGGCCATCTTCTATTCATTAATTCAGCTTTTCTGTCTGGTTATTTCCTTTAGGTAAATATTTTAAATGGAGAAGAATAGACATAAGAAAAATGTTTTTATTTCCTTTAAATGGCTCTTTTCTGAAATAATTAGTGATGGAGAGACTGTGTAGTTTTGATGAGATTTTTTTAAAAAATTTATTTATTTAATTTATTTATATTTGGCTGCGTTGGGTCTTCACTGCTGCGCGCAGGCTTTCTCTAGTTGTGGCGAGCGGGGACTCCGCTTCGTTGAGGTACGTGGGCTTCTCATTGCGGTGGCTTCTCTTGTTGCAGAGCACAGGCTCTAGGCGCATGGGATTCAGTAGTTGTGGCACACGGGCTCAGTAGTTGTGGATCATGGGATCTAGAGTGCAGGCTCAGTAGTTGGGGGGCACGGGCTTAGTTGCTCTGCGGCATGTGGGATCTTCCCGGACCAGGGCTGGAACCTGTGTCCCCTGCATTGGCAGGTGGATTCTTAACCACTGCACCACCAGGGAAGCCCTGTTGATGGGGTTTTACCAGCACAGGGTTTTCAGTAGTTCTGGGCCTTAGGATGAAGCATAAAGGTTTTTTGTTTTCTTGAATGTTATGAGATATTATTTCATTTTTGCCCCCTAGAAATTAAACTTGGAAAAGTTTTGAAACATAGGTATAAGTCTGAGGTAATGAATTCTAATGTAATTCTGAATGTTCAAAAACATTATTTCTATTTAAAAAGCTAAAATGTTGGGATTTTATTTTGAGGGGGGTAAAAAAATTCAATCTTGGTTTTTAGTGTCTGCGTCCATGTTACAAAGTGGCATTTTACTAGCATGGCCTCATCACATGACCTTTGCACCTTTAATCAGTTGATTGACTCTCCACTAATCTGACATTTTTAAGATGGGGAAGTGAGCTCTGGAACAGGGATAAAGCCCGGTTAACGATTTGAGTTCTCTGCTCTGCTGCTGCCTGGGTGTGCAGTGTGGGCACGTCCTGGGCTCTGATGTAGTCAGTCTTTGAATGGAAGGAATTGGACTAGATCTATGATTTTCATGGGATGGGGGCTCTATGAGCAGGTTGTGTGGGTATCAGGATCTTGGTTGTGGGGAAAACGTGTTGTTTGAGAAGCATAGTACTGCTGTCTTTCTTCCTTTGGAAAATAGAAAAACTTTTTTTTTTTTTTAACAAGGGGCAACATGTAAAGCGTGATACAGTCTTAGCTGGTTTACATAGGATGGAAGGCGCATGGGACTAGCAGTTAGTGGCAAGTAACAATTTTTAGTGAGTACTGTGTGCCGGGTACTGTTTTAAAAATTTTGATATGCATGTATTTTCAGTTAAACCTCACAAATTCCTAGAAAATCAGTCCTGTTATCATATGAGCAGACAGCGGAAAGGTGAAGTGTCTCACTCAGGGTCATCACAGCCAGTGTGTAGATAGATCTGGGATCCAAACCCAAGATGAATCCGCAGCCTTAGCTGCTACATTTGCTACCTCTACGTCCATAGTCTGATATGAATCAAGATCACTTCAATCTATATTTTACCTTCTGAAAAAAAGAGTTTTGTAATATGTGTAACTTGTATGAAACTGCCCCTCAATCCTCAGGTGCAAAAAAAAAATAAGAAAAAAATAGAAAAAAAAATCCTATTTTCCTTTAAACCCAATTAAAAATTTGACTCAAAGTTTCACTTGTAGAGACTGATGAGATGTTCAGTATCGATAGATCAGTAGTCAGTGGGGGATTCCTTCGTCACCCACACGATTTGGCTAGAAAATTCTGAGGGCCTCAAATCTGCACTCCATCCTGGTGGTGCCGAGATGCTCACGGGCCAAGCCCACATTATCCGTTTGAGAGTGGCCAATCACTGTGCTTATTCCCTCCATGCTCAGCTTGGCTGCCATGATCTCCCCGGAGCTCCTGAGGCCGAGGCTTTTAGGTGTGAGCCCCCACGTGTCCACGGGTCCAATCTTGCCAGAGGTTTTTCACCTGCCCCTGTCAGGGAGCCATATAGACACAGAGCGTGGTACAGACACAGACAAAGGGCACTGATGGACATAGCTTCCCAAGGTGAAGGGAAGTATATCTTCCCTTCTTTCCTTGTAATCTTATAGGGAATTAATTAATTTCTCTATCAAATTATCCTCCTGCCTGTAAGTGACAGCAAGATTTAACATGACTGACCTTACACAATTTTATTAGAGTCCAGCGTACATTTCTCTTGCTGGTGAAAGCATCTAGGTGATGAAACTGAGATAACCTAAGTTGTTATTTGTACTATCTATGTGACGCTGGGTAAATGAACTGAATTCTTTAAGTCTCTGTGTCATATTTTATAACGTGGGGTCAATAATAGTTTCTGTCCCATAGAGGGTCCAGAGGTTGGGGGATCAGCTTTAACAAAGACACTCAGTGGGGGAATGGCAATGAAACCAGCTAAGCTGGAGGGGAGGGTATAAGTAGGTGTGGTGTGTGGTGGGGTAGATGCTGGAAATGTTGTGTAAATGCCGTTGTATAGCATTTGGACTCACACTGGCCGCCTTCTTGCAGTTGTTTTATTAACTGAAGTTTGTGTTCTGCCTCAAACACGTACCAAGATCCCTCTGATAAACTGCTGTTTTGGCCGATTTAGGACCCAACTGACTTTGAGTGGAGCTTCTGGATGGAGTGGGGCAAGCAGCGGCTGGTGTGGCTTCTCCTTGGCCACATGGGTGTGTCTCAAGTAGCCAACCTGCTTGCAAGGAAGGTACGGTTATGTGCATCATTTCCATTTAAGCTTCTTTCTCCTTTGCTTTTTGTGAAGAAAGACCTGAGCTAGCAAATCAGGAGACATGGATACTAGCCTTGGAAGACTGGAAAAGATGAGGAAGAATTGTTACTGGTCAATAGGATAAATTATCAGATAAAAAGATAAAAATGAAAGATAAAGATAAGATAAATTGTTAATGATGTTGATAAGATAAAAATTCCATACATGCTTATCCTGTGCTTACTTCCTCCAAGTCGTTTTTCAAACCAATGAATATGAAGGTTTTAGACTAAAACTAACTTCAGATGGTATTCTTTAAGACCATTCTTAATCAAATGATCCTATAAAAACCACCTGTTGAGAATCTCTGTGATTTCAGTTCAGAAGAAAGAGAATGATTTCATTAAGGAGTGGGAATGATTTTCATGTCAAGTAATTTACGCTACAGTAGCTGTTGTAGATCAGAATTCTAGTATTTTGCTCTTTCCTTGTCCTGGTTTCGAGAACAAGAGATTCTTCCAAGCAGATGTTTGAAAAGTGCTTTTGCAAGAGGTGGGATTGAGAACCTCTTTATGTTGTAGCTAACACGGGGCCTGAGGTAGTGCCAGGAGGATCTTTCTCTAGTGTAGGGGCCAGGCTTTGTCCAGCATCCTCTCGTATATGCATCTTGCCTCTGTGGTTTCCTAATCTGAAAAAAAATGAGTCTGTGCTTGGAATTCTACCCAGTAAACACAAAACACAGCCAAAAATGGACTTGGAAGTCAACCCAGGAGAAATGTTTGATTCTTAGAGGTTCACGGAGGTGAAGAAACTGAAGGGACAGAAGAAGCAGGATTCTCTGGGCTCAAGAGACCCAGACGTGAACTGAGAAAACAGTGCCATGTGCTTAGAGATGTCACCGGACTTGGGCTATTTTTCAGCTCTTTCCTGAAAATTGGTACTTGCTGGGCCTGCTTCTCATCTTGGAATACAGAAAATCCCAGTAGCACACCAACTTTCTTGGTTTTAAATATGATAATGATTACTTTTTTGTACTCAAGTGGTTTCCATCTTCTAAAGTAGCAACAAATTAAAAATTTTAGATGCTGTCAGATCTGAATATATTTAAAAGTTTCATACAACTTTCTTTTTTTTAGTTTTATTGAGATGTAATTGACATATGGCACTGTATAAGTAAGGTATACAGCATAATGACTTAAAATACACATATTGTGAAATGATTACCACAATAAGCTTAGTTAATATCTATTGTCTAATAATGATACAAAGAAAAAATGAGAAAAAAGAAAAGAATGTGTTTTCCTTGTCATGAGAACTTTTAGGATCTATTCTATTCTCTTAGCGGCTTTCAAATATACCATACAGCAGTGTTAACCGTAGTCATCATGTTGTACATTATATTCTTAGTACTTATTTTTCTTAACTGGAAGTTTGTACCTTTTGATCACCTTCATTCAATTTTATATAACCTTCTGAGCAAACCTAATAATAAGTAATCCATTTTTTTTTGTATTCCTAAACTAGTTATGAACATATCCACCTCAGCCTTCATTAATGTGTTTCTTTTCGTCCACAAATTTGTTTGGTATTTGCTAAGGCATCAATGTTTCTAGAAATTTAACATTTTTGTTTCTAACACAAAGTTTTTCTGCCCCTAGGTAAATGACTTACTGCCCCTAGGTCTTAGTTTTCCCATCTGTAAAACAAATAGCTTAATACTTGTCTTTTCTATCTCTGTGGGGGGGAAGATGAACTATTTTGAGGAGTATGTGAAATTCAGCCCGTCTCACTACTGCTGCTGTGGGAAAGGGTCAGCTGTCGTGGAGTGGAAGAGTGCTGGATGATGGATTAGGTCCTGGGCTTTCTCATTTGTTAGCTTTCTGACCTTAGAAAGGCTTTTCACCACTGAATCTTAATTTATCATTTTCTGTAAAGTAAGGTTGATGAGATAGTATTATTCTTTTTTTTTTCCTTGCGTTATGCGGGCCTCTCACTGTTGTGGCCTCTCCCATTTGCGGAGCACAGGCTCCGGACGCGCAGGCTCAGTGGCCATGGCTCACGGGCCCAGCCGCTCCGCGGCATGTGGGATCTTCCCGAAACGGGGCACGAACCCGCGTCTCCTGCATCGGCAGGCGGACTCTCAAGCACTGCGCCACCAGGGAAGCCCGATAGTATTATTCTTTTTCTTTTCCTCCTTTTAAAACATGGTGGGCTTCTCACTATTCACAATAGCCAAAACATGGAAGCAACCTAAATGTCCATCGACAGATGAATGGATAAAGAAGATGTGGCACATATATACTGTGGAATACTACGCAGTCATAAAAAATGAAATAATGTCATTTGCAGCAACATGGATGGACCTAGAGATTATCATACTAAGTGAAGTAGATCAGAAAGACAAATACCATATGCTGTCACTTATATGTGGACTCTAAAATATGACACGAATGAACTTATCTATGAAACGGAAACAGACTTACAGACATAGAGAACAGACTTGTGGTTGCCAAGGGGGAGAGGGGTGGGGGAGGGATGGATTGGGAGTTTGGGATTAGCAGATGCAAAGTATTATATATAGAATGGATAAACAACAAAGTCCTAACTATATTCAGTATCCTGTGATAAACCATAATGGAAAAGAGTATGAAAAAGAATGTATATATATGTATAACTGACTCACTTTGCTGTACAGCAGCAATTAACACAACATTGTAAGTCAACTATACTTCAATAAAATACATTTAAAAAAAATGGTGGGCTTCATTTGTTAGAAATTTCATTAAAAAGTAAGGATGAAACATGGAAAAGGTAGGACAAAGAGGAAGCACCAAAGAAATGGCAGAAATAAATGCAAATATATCAATAGTCACAATCAGTGTGAATGGACCCAATCCACCCCCCCAACCCCCCAGAAAAGGATTCTCAGACTGGATAAAAGTAAAACAGAAAAAAAGGAAAATAAACAAAGAAATAGAACAGCATCCACAGGGGTGCTTCCTAGCAAGATATACTTAAAATGGAAGGACACAAGAACACAGAGTGTTTGAAAGTGAAAGGATGGAAAAAGGTGTTCCAGTAAATATAAGACTCATCTTTGTCCCGTCCACCTAGATACTAGTGCAGTTTCATGAACAGTTGGCAAAGAACATTATTTGTGACAAAGAGGGTTCTTGTTTAATGATAAAAAGTTCATTTCATTAGGAAGATATTATAATTCTAAGTTTATTTTCCTTCCAAATATAGAAAGCAAAAGTTGATCAATACCATAAAGATAAATAGATATATCTGTGATTTTAGGGAGAGATTTTAACATAATTTTATCACTAATTGATATATCAGAAGAAAACAAATAATACAATTAATAAGCTTGATATAAGAAACGTAAATGGGGACTTCCCTGGCGGTCCAGTGGCTGGGACTCCACGCTCCCAATGCGGGGGAACTGGGTTCGATCCCTGGTCGGGGAACTAGATCCCACATGCCACAGCTAAGACCTGGCACAGCCAAATAAATAAATAAATAAAAAGGCAGTTTATAAGCAGGCTATGAAGGATCTTAAATACTATAGTTTGGGAAGCAGGAATCCACTGAAGGTTTAAAAAAAATAAAAGAAATGTAAATGATTACATCTAACAACTGGAGAATTCACATCCTCTTAAAGAACACATAGAATATTTATAAAAACTGACCACATCTTAACCATAAAGTAATTTTCAATGAATTTCAAAGGCTGTGTTTTAAATAGGTTACCTTCTCTAATCCCAGTGTAATTAAGTTGGAAACCAGTACACAATGACCTGAAAACTGTAATTCATTTAGAAATTAAAAAAGAAAGCAAACTTTAAAATAACAATAGGTAAAAAAAGAGATCATACTGGAAATTAGAAATTAATGAAAAATACATTACATATCAATACTTGTAGGGTGCTACTTGGATAATTTTAAGTTTATGTAAGTGCATAACTTTACATGCTCCTATTAAAACAGAAGAAAAGCTGAAAATTAATGAGCTAAGCATACAACTTAAGAAATTAGGAAAGAACAGAAAAAAGAAACAAAGAAGGAAAGAACAAAAATAAGAGTAGGGCTTCCCTGGTGGCGCAGTGCTTGGGGGTCCGCCTGCCGATGCAGGGGGCGCGGGTTCGTGCCCCGTTTCGGGAGGATCCCGCGTGCCGCGGAGCGGCTGGGCCCGTGAGCCATGGCCGCTGGGCCTGCGCGTCCGGAGCCTGTGCTCCGCAAATGGGAGAGGCCACAACAGTGAGAGGCCCGCATAACGCAAGGAAAAAAAAAAAAAAAATAAGAGTAGACATTAATGAAACAATCAGTGGCATGATTGGTCAAAAAAAATGCACAAATAAGCAATATTAGGTGTGGAAAAGAGGATAAAAAATATAGTAAGGATATTTTGCACAACTTTATGACAATAATTTTGAAAACTTTGGCAAAGCAGACACATTTCTAGAAAATGTGTCTTACCACAACTGACTCATGAAGAAATAGAAAGACTGAATAGTGCTATAACCATGAAAAGAAGTTGAATAAGTAGTTAAAAATCTATTTGTAAAGAAAACAACAGTCTAACACACCACTTCTTCCAAACATTCAAGGCACAAATTATTTAAATCTTTTCCAGGCTTTTTCAGAAAATAGAAAAAGAGGGAACATTCATTTTATGAAGAAGAGAGCATAAAATTGATACCAAAATCAGAGTATGCGCCCTACCAGATACTATGACTTAATAAAGATATAATAATTAGGACATTGTTGTATTGGCACCAGGACAGATAAATAGACCAATGTAACAGAATAGAGTTTAGAAAATACTTGTACGTAGATGGAAAGTTGATTTTGACAGATGTGGCATTTCAGATATGCATGGAAAAGATAAACTTCAATAAACAGTGCTGACACAATTGTTGAGTCATATTAAAAAGAAATAAATACTTACCTCATACTATTCATAATCATTTTCAAGGTGAATTAAGTCCTTAAAA